AATAATTTTGATTTTCTTCACCTTCAATTTAATGTCTTTTGATATTGAGTTGAGCACCTTCAGCTATCATTGAAATTTATTCAGAATTGCATATCGCTTAATAAATCAGGCCAGACTTCGTTAGGTACCCAATTTTAGGCACTTATCTTTTAATATACTTTGCCAATGACTGTTCCTTGCTTGAGATTTCTTGTTTTTATAATCAAACTTACTCTGGTTTATTGTTTTGGAAATTCCTGTTTGTTGTCCTGTCACCTGTTTCTTATGGAATTAGTGCTTTCCATGTTCATTCCCTGCCTTGCATATCGGTCTTTCACATTGTTTTGTTTCCTCTGTATTGGTTTTCATTTTCTCAGTCTGAATCTTATGCGATGTCTTCCTTTTTAACATAGCTAGATAGTTCTCTGTTGTGACTGGTATTCACACTTCCTTCCAAACTTGTTAATGTCACTATTTGATTTGCTTCCACTTCCACTTGCTTAATAAAGATGTGAAATAAACCCATGTCATACTAGATATCCCCACCGCATTATACACTACATATTAGCAGTTACCTAGTTGGTGGTCCTTCAGCTCTTTTTCACGGTGTGCAGCAATGTTTCTATCTAAGACAGTGCAGATAAATATTTTGACTAGGAATCAGTGATAGGCAGTATCTTTTTAGCTCTTTAAAAATCCAAATAGACTACATCTTTTTCTCTATATTATGTTACCTTATTACGTGAAATGTGGCAAAATGAAACCACATAATGAATGATTTTTGGACCAGATCCTGATGCATGTTACTCAATTTTTATTAAGCACTTATTTAAGAGATCTTCCATTGACTTCAGTAAGAATTTTGGCTGAATGAGGGCTTCAGAATTGCTTGGTTCTTTTACAGACAAGAAAATTAAGGGAAGTTATTCACTTTGGATAGATTAAAGTAATGGGAAAACCTCTATATGAAGGGAGACTGAAATATGAAAAAGAACCTTTTTGTGTGAATCATTTTTCTGTTTTGTTTTTATAAGGCTCTAACCATTGTCAATGTTGTATTCACTTCATGTTCAACTAGATATTGCTCCAATAGAGGAATGGTTTGTAAGATTCACCATGCATCATGGATTAAATATGTTTGCTACTGAAGGAACATTACTGGATGTTCTGAGGGGTAAGAATCATTCAGAAACACAGAATTATTTAGAACAAAAAACTGTTAAGATGAGTTAAAGATAATATTGGTCCAAGTTAAGATTACCCTTAAATCTAAACATTTTAAGATATGGAAATGTACTGCCAAGGCATGCAAATAACCTTAACTCTGCTCTATAGTGGAACCATTATGGAAATTTAAAGATATGGAAATGTACTGCCAAGGCATGCAATAACCTTAACTCTGCTCTAAAGTGGAACCATTAGGGAAATTTTTAAAAAAATCTTTAAAAATCGATCTCTTCTAGTCTTGGGCTACAAATGCTAAAATAATTTATTAATCATATTCATATAGTTATTGTACAATATTTCTACAGGACAGAGTTTATCTAAAAAGTTCTGTCTGTGGAAAGATACATCAAAATGACACTACAGGACAGAGTTTATCTAAAAAGTTCTGTGGAAAGATACATCAAAATGATGAATACTCCTTTTTCAGTTAATTTTATGAAAAACTATGTACCTTACCAATTCCTTGATCAAATCATTTGATTGGAGGAGCTGGCAGTGCTGTCCATATTTCCTATGGAAAAAACTCCTGCTTTCAGTTGCTTATAAAACTGTGTGAAACTTCAGCTTTTTGGGCTGAAGTTTACCGTGATTCATGCTGATTTTTTTTCCTAGCCAAGACAGCTGACCTGTTTCTAAAAATAAGGCTGGGAAGAAAATATGTTTTTTCCAAAATTTTGACAGCTGACCTGTTTCTAAAAATAAGGCTAGGAAGAAAATATGTTTTTTCCAAAATTAAAAAAAAAAATCAAATGATCTATCACTCCTTGATTTGGAACAGGGACTTAACATTTGGCCTTTTTGTCAGGCCAATCCCCTTGCTTTTTCCAGTCCCTGTGAAAAATCGACCCAAATTTGGCCAAGTGTCAAAGTGCCTCCATCACTACCTGGTGAACCTCACTGGCTGGCTAGTTCACCTGGTTTCACAGTCACAAAAGCATACCATGCTGTTCATCTTTCATCAAGGTGTGAATTTATTTGGCTACAGTGGGACATTCTAAGATTGGACAGGAAGTTGGGGTAGAGAAAGTAGGAATTAATGAGGGAGGAATGAGGAAAGGGGATACAGTTTTGAGAAGGAGCTGGGATGTAGGAAGAGAAATGAGACTAACTAGATGGTAGCTAAGACAAGGAGCAAGAGACTGGGTGAAGATCATGGAGATGGAGATTAGAACTGAGAGTTACACTGGAGGAGGGTAAACTGATTGGATAAGGAGTCTGGATGGAACAGCTGTGGCTTGATTGGTAAGGAATTTGTGGAGACAGGAATTGGGGTGCAGAAAATGGGAACTGGGACTGTCTAGAAAATGATGAAGGATCAGCATGTGGGGAAAAAATAGTATATGAGCATGTAATTAAGACTGTCATACTGCATATACACCAGGAGGATGAAATAAGGTTGTACAGGCAACCTTAATTATGGTATTTCCTAACTCTTGAATGTTGACTTTGCAACCTTAGTAATCTTTTAACATTGTTTTATGAGTGTAATTTTATTTTAAGCGGCAGTAACATTGTTTTATGAGTGTAATTTTATTTTAAGTGGGATGACCCTAAGAGCGGGAACAATAGAGGAGGTTCCTCAGGAACTAAGGGGAAAAGGATTTTACTCCCATTATTTCCTAAACCCGAAAGTCATAGGTGGTCTCAGGCTCATTGTAGACCTATGAAACCACAATAAATTAATGAAAAACCTGAAGTTCCACCTGGTCTCTTTGACCTCCATTATTCCCTCCCTGGATCTGGGAGATTGGTATGCTGCCCTCAACTTGAAGGATGCATACTTTCATATTTTCATAGTTGTATCCCACAGAAGATTTCTCAAATTCATGGTGAACCCACACCCATTTTCAGTTTACAGTCCTCCCATTTGGACTAGCAGTGGCACCAAGTGCATGGCAGATGTGTCTGCTTTCCTCAGAAAATGGCAGGTGCAGGTGTTTCCGTACCTTGAGGGTTGTCTGGTCAAGGGCTTTTCCAGAGAGCAGGTGGAGGCACATGTATGCCTGATAGGTTGATTTTCGACAAACTCAGCCTTTTGCAGAAAATGCAGAAATCAACTTTGTTCTCCACTATACAGGCAGTCCCTGACTTACGCGGATATGACTTACGTCGGATCTGCACTTACGAACGGGGCTTTCTCGCCCCGGAGCTCACAGGCAGCGGTCAGCCATCTCGAGCTCTGGGGCGAGAAAAGCTGCTCCCGGTGCCCTGGTCTGCTGGGGACCGTCTCCAGCAGACCAGGGGCACCGCGAGCAAACCCGCCGCGGCTGCGGCTTTGCTCCCGGTGCCCCTGGTCTGCTGGAGACGGTCCCCAGCAGACCAGGGGCGCCGGGAGCAGCTTTTCTCGCCCCGGAGTTCGAGGTGGCGGACCGCTGCCTGCGAGCTCCGGGGCAAGAAAGCCCCATTCGTACCTTCGTAAGTGCGGATCCAACATAAGTTGGATCCGCGTAAGTCGGGGACTGCCTGTACAGTTTCCATAAGCTGCATGCAAATGTATTTTCTTATTACATATTGTTTTTCATGTACAGGTTGGACCTCTTTGGTCTGGCACCCTCAGGGAGGGAGGAGGGCTTTTGCCAGAACAGGGGAGGTCATTTCTGGGCCCTCTGCTGCTGGCCCAATTTTGTGTCCTGCTAGGCTATCTCGCTCCCCCCAGCAGCCCAGGCTTCCCAGCCCCAGGCTTCCCAGCTCCTGCCCCTCATCCCCTCCCCACACTCCCATCAGCGCTATACACCAGATTCCTGGCAGCCCAGCTGGGTCATGTGCCAGACTCCCACCCCCACATTGCACCAGGATTCTGTTATCCTACAATAACCAGGGGCCTGATGGACCACAGACATTGCTGGACTAGAGTGTCCCAGTTTATAGAGGTGCAACCTGTACCTAGCATATTTTTGTTGTTTAGTGACACCCTTTATTTTACACTTGGTCTACACCTAATATAATATATGGAGATATACCATCTCATAGAGCTGGAAGGGACCTTGAGAGGTCATTGAGTCCAGTCCCCTGCCCTCACAGCAGGACTAAGTACCATCCCTGACATATTTGCCCCAGATTCCTAAATGGCCCCCCCAAGGATTGAGCTCACAATTCTGGATTTAGCAGGCCAGTGCTCAAACCACTGAGCTATCCCTCACTCTAAAACTTAAACAATTACCAATCTGTGTCACTGGGCGGGGGAAGTGAATAAAAATTCTTCAGTCAGCCTTCCGCTGAAGGAACTGTATTTACCATAGGAATGGGGGAAATGCAATGCAAGAACTTCTATCTTTTCATAACCTGAGAGAGTATGTGAATAGTACAAACTGTTTGATTCAATGTACATTATTTTGCACTGGTCTTCAGATTTCTGGTGCATATATTCAAACATACAGATATGCAACTTACCATGCACTGTTTCATTACATATGAGAGCAATTACCGCCACATCATTAGCACAGGGGCATTTTGACACTGTGATATTTATTACATAAGGTATTAGAGCATTAATTTGAGCAGACTGCATTGGTTTGCCAAGACGCCATTGAAGAAGAGGCTCTGTGGAAAAAAAAAGTCTAGAGGTTAAAATTATCCAAAGCATAAATACATTGCATGTTTATTTAACCATTCTTATCACTTTTACATTCCATGGATAAAAAGAAGACAAATATAATTTATTATGAGAGGCTAAGTACACCAAAAAAGAAACAATAGAGAAAGAACGTGCACATGGCCAAGTGCATATGATCGGGCATGTCTACATTACAGACACTAAGGCTGTGTCTATACTACATGGCTCCATCGATGGAGCCATGTAGTCTAGACACAGCCTTAGTGTCTGTAATGTAGACATGCCCGATCATATGCACTTGGCCATGTGCACGTTCTTTCTCTATTGTTTCTTTTTTGGTGTACTTAGCCTCTCATAATAAATTATATTTGTCTTCTTTTTATCCATGGAATGTAAAAGTGATAAGAATGGTTAAATAAACATGCAATGTATTTATGCTTTGGATAATTTTAACCTCTAGACTTTTTTTTTCCACAGAGCCTCTTCTTCAATGGCGTCTTGGCAAACCAATGCAGTCTGCTCAAATTAATGCTCTAATACCTTATGTAATAAATATCACAGTGTCAAAATGCCCCTGTGCTAATGATGTGGCGGTAATTGCTCTCATATGTAATGAAACAGTGCATGGTAAGTTGCATATCTGTATGTTTGAATATATGCACCAGAAATCTGAAGACCAGTGCAAAATAATGTACATTGAATCAAACAGTTTGTACTATTCACATACTCTCTCAGGTTATGAAAAGATAGAAGTTCTTGCATTGCCAGCTTATATAAACATCTGTATCTTCCTTTCATAAATTAGAGATGCTATCCCCCAGCCCAATGCATCATGCATCTAGACAGATGCTAATCATCATTTGGTTTCAGAGAAATAATTCCCATTATGATAGTGTTGCAAACTTTGTTGATTTATGAACATTTTAAAGCTTCCATTAAAGAAGCCAGAAGTGAACCCTTGCTGGAGATGGAAAATGTAGCAGGATTTGTCTTAGTATGGCCTTCTATTATTAAATGTCTTATTGGTCCTGGCAAACCTGTTCATATTTAGAAAATGAGCATGGTGAAATTGGCTTTAATATCTCAGGTTGACTAGGACTGAGATGCAAATAATAGTGAACACTGCCATCTAATGGCAGACAATGAATATTGGAAAGTTTAAAAACCATCACAAACTTGCTTAACATAAAATTAAAAAAATAATAAACAAACAAGAAATATTTAGTAGCTTACTGTTGTTTAGCGATATCTGTCAGAAAAAGCAGAAAAGCTTCTGTGTAATCTGATCTGTCACCTCATAGGAGGAACTGCCAAACCAATATTAATCCATTTTATAGATGGGCAAAATGGGTTGGTTTGTTTATTATTTACATAGCACCACTGATACCAAAGGTGCTTTATAGATATGTAAAATGATAAATTCCAAGATCCAAAGAGTTTAGAATCCAAATTAACAAAATAAAGGCAGGACAGGAGGGAAGGGAAACAGAAAAGCAAAATGATGGAGCAATTGTTTTTAAATTGTCTTAGTTCACTTCTTGAGATGTGTGAGTGTTCTAAGCCTGAGTCATCTTTGAGCCTGCATGTTCTGAGCCTCACAAGTCATCTGAGATTATTATGACAGGACCAACCACCTCAAATTCACGGAACTAGACTTGATGACCTCTCAAGGTTCCTTCCAGTTCTAGTATTCTGTGATTCTATAATTATCTGTGAGTCCTGTGTGTCCAGCTAATCCATGAGGAAAGGTGTAATTAGGTGATTACGAAGCAAGTATAGAGGCTGCTAATGAAAGCAGTCATTCCCATCTGTTCAGCATCACTACTTTGTTGGGGATATTCCCAATTGCCTGGCAGTTCTGACAGACTGCTCCACAGAATATCTTACTGTCCCTGTATAAAACTATAGTACGTCCACATCTTGAATACTGTGTACAGATGTGGTCTCCTCACCTCAAAAAAGATATTTTGGCCTTGGAAAGGGTTCAGAAAAGGGCAACTAAAATGATTAGGGGTTTGGAACTGGTCCCATATGAGGAGAGGTTAAAGCGACTGGGACTTTTCAGTTTAGAAAAAAGGAGACGAGGGGGAATATGATAGAGGTATATAAAATCATGTGGAGAGGGCAGATCAAGAAAAGTTATTTATTAGTTCCCATAATAGAAGAACTAGAGGACACCAAATGAAATTAATGGGTAGCAGGTTTAGAACTAATAAAAGAAAGTTCTTCTTCACACAGCGTGTAGTCAACCTGTGGAACTCCTTGCCAGAGGAGGCTGTGAAGGCTAGGACTATAACAGAGTTTAAAGAGAAGCTAGATAATTTCATGGAGGTTAGGTCCATAAAAGGCTATTAGCCAGGGGATAGAAGTGGTGTCCCTGGCCTCTGTTTGTCAGAGGCTAGAGAAGGATGGCAGGAGACAAATCGCTGATCATTGTCTTCGGTCCATCCTCTCTGGGGCACCTGGTGTTGGCCACTGTCGGCAGACAGGCTACTGGGCTAGATGGACCTTTGGTCTGACCCAGTACAGCCATTCTTATGTTCTTATGTAGTACGCTTCTTTTTAATAAAATGGGCTTGAATCCTGAAATTTACTCACTTTGACTCCATTGGTATTCAAATCAAACTTCTGTTGACATACATAGCAGTTTTGACTGAGACTTTGTGATGGAGTTCATTTGCTTAACCCATAATATGGAGTAGATGAAAGGATTATGAAGAGAGGTATGAGAAGAGAGATGGCTGAAAGACTTGCAGAAATAAATGCATTCTGAGTTGGAGGAAGGTGACTTTGCAAGATCAAGTAGATCAAGTAATCTAGGAAGAAGCATGGAAACAAGTGATAGCAGATTAGAGGTGGTTCTTCGCTTTGTCTACGCATATTCCACTGTTGGTTTTTAAGATGAATTATTTTGGCCTCCAGTGTCTGTTGGCGCTATACGTCCACCTTATAAGGTTGTAGCGTCTTTAAACTATGGTCACCATAGATGCTTTTGTGTTTAAGGGAAGGGCACATCACAGCAGAGATGTCGGCTCATGTTCAGGAACAACCAAAGAATCAGGGAAGCTCAGCTACAACTTTTTCTGATGCAGAGATAAGTTCATCCTTCATCTGGTCCTGCCTTGAGGGCGGGGGGCTAGACTCGATGACCTCTTGAGGTCCCTTCCAGTCCTATGATTCTATGATCTGATCATACATATTGGTTTTCCAGAACAGAAACATCTGAGCACCTGCCATCTCTTCCTCATCAGCACAAGCACATTAGAGACTTACTTACTTTCTCTAGTAAAACATTGGATGGCAGTGGGAAGAAGGAGTGTATAGGGAGAGAAGACTGAGATCTCCTTCTCTGAGTCCTTCCACTTTTAAAGCCCAGGAATCTTCCTGAGCACCAGAGGCCAAGGTCAGCTCAAGACACAAAAGGGTTTGATCAGTGATTAAGAAAAAACAGAAAGCATATAAGGAGTGGAAGATGGGAGGAACCCGCAAAAAAAGCTACCTTATTGAGGTTAGAGCTTGTAGGGACAAAGTGAAAGAGGCTAAAAGTCATGTAGAGTTGGACCTTGCAAAGAGAATTAAAATCAATAGTAAAAGGTTTTATAGCCATATAAATAGGAAAAAAAACAAAAAAAAAAGTGGGACCGCTAATCACTGAGGATGGAGTGGAGGTTAAGGATAATCTAGGCATGGCCCAAAATCTAAACAAATACTTTGCTTCAATCTTTAATGAGGCTAATGAACAGCTTAGGGATAATGGTAACATAACAAATGGGAATAAGGATATGGAGGTAGATATTACCATATCCGAGGTAAATGCCAAACTTGAACAGCTTCATGGGAGTAAATTGGGGGGCCCAGATAATCTTCATCCAGGAATATTAAAGGAACTGGCACATGAAATTGAAAGTCCATTAGCAAAAATTTTTAATAAATCTCTAAACTCAGAGGTTGTACCATTTGACTGGAGAATTGCTAATATAGTTCCTATTTTTAAGAAAGGGAAAAAAAGCAACCCGGGTAACTATAGGCCTGTTAGTTTGACATCTGTAGTATTCAAGGTCTTGGAAAATTTTTTGAAGGAGAAAGTAGTTAGGGATATTGAAGTTAATGGCAATTGGGACAAATTACAACATGGTTTTACAAAAGGTAGATCGTGCCAAACCAACCTGATCTCCTTCTTTGAGAAAGTAACAGATTTTTTTTAGATAAAGGAAATGCAGTGGATCTAATCTACCTCGATTTTAGTAAAGCATTTGATACAGTACCACATGAGGAATTATTGGTTAAATTGGAAATGATAGGGATTAATATGAAAGTTGAGAGGTGGATAAGCAACTGGTTAAAGGGGAGACTACAGAGGATCATACTGAAAGGTGAACTGTCAGGTTGGAGGAAGGTTACTAGCGGAGTTCCTCAGGGATCAGTTTTGGGGAGGTGAACTGTCAGGTTGGAGGAAGGTTACTAGCGGAGTTCCTCAGGGATCAGTTTTGGGACCAATCTTATTTAATCTTTTTATTACTGACCTTGGCACCAAAAGTGGGAGTGTCCTAATAAAGTTTGCGGATGACACAAAGTTGGTAGGTATTGCCAATTCAGAAAAGATAGGGATATCATACAGGAAGATCTGGATGATCTTGTAAATTGGAGTGATAGCAATAGGATGAAATTTAATAATGAAAAATGTAATGTTATGCAGTTAGGGATTAACAACAAGAATTTTAGTTATAAGCTGGGGACACATCAGTTGGAAGTAACGGAAGAGGAGAAGGACCTCAGAGTCCTGGTTGATCATAGGATGACTATGAGCCGCCATTGTGACATGGCCGTGAAAAAGGCTAATATGTTCTTGGGATGCTATAGGCAAGGTATTTCCAGTAGGCTTCTTTCCTAACCTCTGTGATAGAGCACATGGTTGCGTGCCTGGAGCCTAGCCTCCCCAGAGGCTGCCAGGCCTCCTGAACATGTGGAACAAGTACAAAGAAGGGCCACTAGGATGATCCGAGGAATGGAAAACCTGTCTTATGAAAGGAGACTCAAGGAGCTTGGCTTGTTTACCTTAATCAAAAGAAGGATGAGGGGAGACATGATTGCTCTCTTTAAATATATCAGAGGGATAAATACCAGGGAGGGAAAGGAATTATTTAAGCTCAATACCAATGTGGACACAAGAACAAATGGATATAAGATGGCTATCAGGAAGCTTAGACTTGAAATTAAATGAAGGTTTCTAACCATTAGAGGAGTGAAGTTCTGGAACAGCCTTCCAAGGGAAGTAGTGGGTGCAAAAGACCTATCTGGCTTCAAGATTAAGCTAGATGGGTTTATGAAGGGGATGGTTTGATGAGATAACATGATCTTGGTAACTAATTGACCTTTCACTATCAGTGGTAAATAGGCTAATGGAGGGATGATAGGAGTTACTATAGAGAACTTTTCCTGGGTATCTGTCTGGTAAGTCTTGCCCACATGCTCAGGGTTCAGCTGATCGCCATATCTGGGGTTGAGAAGGAATTTTCCTCCGGGGTAGATTGGCAGAGGCCCTGGACGTTTTTCACCTTCCTCTGTAGCATGGGGCACGGATCACTGCTGGAGGATTCTCTGCATCTTGGGGTCTTTAAATCATTTGAGGACTTCAATATCTGAGATATAGGTGAGAGGATTATTCCAGGAGATTCTGTGGATTGTGCAGGGGGTCAGACTAGATGATCATAATAGTCCTTTCTGACCTGAAAGTCTATGGGCCTATGAGTCTGAGTGCTCAGACACCATTCATGATCTCTAACCCCTCATCT